TTTTTAGTTTGATGTAGTCCCAGTTGTTTATTTCTGTTTTTGTTGCCGTTACTTTCATCTCCAAAAATCATCTCCAAGACTGATGTCAAGGAGCTGAGACCCTATATCTTCTTCTAGGAGTTTTATGGTTTCAGGTTTTGCCTTCAGGTTCAAATGTTTAATTCCATCTTGAGTTGATTTTTTGTGTATGGTGTAAGATAAGGGTCTAGTTTCATTTTCTTGCATGCGGCTGTCTGGTCTTCCCAGCACCATTCACTGGAGACTGTTCTTTCCTCATTGTATGTTTCTGGCTTTGTTTTAAATTCATTGTCCATGTATGTGTAGGGTTATTTCTGGGCTCTCCATTATGTTCCATTGATCTATGTGTCTGTTCTTATGCCAGTACCATACTGTTTTGATGACTAGAGCTTTGTAATATAGTTTGAAATCAGAACATGTGGTGCCTCCAGACTTGTTCTTCTTTTTAAAGATTGCTTTGGTTACTCAGTGTCTTTTGTGGTTCCATACTAATTTTAAGATAGTTTTTCTTTCTGTGAAAAATGTTACTGGGATTTTGATACAGACTGTATTGAATCTGTAGATTGTTTTGGGTGCTATGGACATTTTAACAAAATTAATTCTTTCAATCCATGAGCATGGAGTATCTTTCTGTTTATTTGTGCCTTCTTCAGTTTCTTTCATCTTATAATGTCTTATAATTTTCAGTGTCCAGATCTTTGACCTCCTTGGTAAAATTTATGCCTAGGTGTTTTATTCCTTTTGATTGAATTATAAATAGGAGTTTCTTAATTTCTCTCTGATAGTTCATCGGTAGTGTACAGAAATGCAACTGACTTTTGTATAATATACTAATTTGTATCCTGCCACTTTACTAAATTCATTCATTAGTTCTAACAGTTGTTTTTTTTTATGGAGACTTTAGAGTTCTCTATGTATATCATGCAATTTGCAAATGGAGTATTTTATTTCCTCCTTTCCAAAGTGGATGCCTTTTTTTTTCTGGCCTGATTGCTCTGGCTAGGATTTCTATGTTTAATGACAGTGGGCATCCTCCTGGCTGGTGTGGCTCAGTGGATTGAGTGCTGGCCTGTGAACCAAAGGGTCACTGGTTTGATTCCCTGTCAGGGAACATGCTTGGGTTGCAGGCCAGGTCCCCAGTAGGGGGCGTGTGAGAGGCGACCATACATTGATGTTTCTCTCTTTCTCTTTCTCCCTCCTTTCCCTTCTCGCTAAATAAATAAATAAATAAATAAATAAATAAAATATTAAATAAGAGTGGGCATCCTTGTCTTATTTCTGATCTTCCAGCTTTACACTGGTTAGTTTTTTTTAAAGTATCTTTTTTTAAAAAGATTTTATTTATTTATTTTTAGAGAGGGAAGGAAGGGAGAAAGAGAGATACATCAATGTGCAGTTGCTGGGGGCCGTGGCCTGCAACCCAGGCATGTGCCCTGACTGGGAATTGAACCTACGATGCTTTGGTTCACAGCCTGTGCTCAATCCACTGAGCTATGCCAGCCAGGGCCTACACTGTTTAGTTTGATGTTAGCTATGGGCTTGTCATATATGGCCTTTATTATGTGGAGGTACATCCCTTGTATTCCCAGCTGCTTCCACATGTTTAGGTTTGTTACAGCAGCACCTCATTCCTGGCCCAAGTTTTTGTCAGTCCATTTGGGCTGTCATAACAAAACACCACAGACTGGGTAGTTTGTGAACAACAGACGTTTATTTCTCACAGTTCTGAAAGTCAGAGATTAGGGTGTGAGCGTGGTCAGGCGAGGGTTTTCTCCTGGGTGGCAGACTTGTGTCCCCACATGACGGGACGGGGTCTCTCAGGACCCTCTTGTGTAAGGCACTAATTCCATCCTCATGACTTAAAGCCTCTCTCCAAGTCCCCACCTGCTGACACCCGCACTTGTTGACGTTGGGATTTCAGTCAGCTGGGGAGCGGGTGCACAGATAGTCCAACTACGGTGCTCCCCGGCGATACTTTTGCTTCATGTCCATGCAGCTCAATACCTAGCGACAGTCCCTAGACTTGCTTTTGTAAGGGGATGCTTCTCTGAAAATGCCCTGTGAGGAAGGCTCTCTTGAGTGCCGCAAGTCCCCTATCTTGTGAGCACAAGGAAGGGACAGGGATTGGAGGAATCTGACATTTGAAAATGTGTTCCCAATGCCCATTCATTGGTCCATATTAACTAATTTAGGTAATTTTCAAAAAGCCACTTGGAGGTCCTTGTTGTTGTCCACACTTCACACTTAGGAGTCTGGAGGCTGCCAGGAGGCAGGACTGAGGGATTGGATCCGAACCCAGCTCAGGCTTCCTGTGGAGTCCACGCTTTGGGGTGGCCACCAGAGTATCTGCTCGTGTGAGCAGGAACGCTGGTAACCTTCCCCTAACTCAGGGCCTGTTCGTCTTCGGTTGATTTTGTCTGTCCTCATTCCCAGTCCTTCCTGCTAACTCCAGAAGGCCAGTCATTGAATTACAGTGTTTGGCTCATCACCACACCCCTCCGAGGGACAGTCTACCTCACCTCCTGTCGTTGCTAATGGGCTGAGCCCGCTGCTGGACCAAGTCCTCTCGGCCGTAAGGCTCCATCATCACTCTGCCCACCACAGGGATCTGATGTTTTGGAAGATGTCCCATTCCCATTATTTATTGTTATTGGGTTGGCCAAAAAGTCCACGTGGCTTTTTCCATAAAATAAAAGACACATTTTTCATTTTCACCGATGAGTTTATTGATTTGGATGTTTCGAGTATGTCAGCTATCTCCCACTATTGGCTTCTCGTGGGTGGAGGCCAAGGTGCTGCTAAACATCTTCCAGTGCATAAGACAGTCTCAGAGCAAAGAATTATTTGGCCAAAATGTCAATAATACCAAGAAACTTCACAAATCACTTTTGACACATTCTATCAGTTACAGCACCTCCATATACTACACAAATCCTTTTTTGGCGTTTCAGTTGTGTTTTTACCTTTCTTGAAATAACAAAGCATAATATGCTGAAAATGTTGCCTATTTTCTTCCATCTTCAATATTAAAATGGCTGCACAGAAATTCACCAATTTTGATTTTTTTAAAATGCACGCTGATATGACAGCTGTCACAATACAGTCTAACAAAATTGTTTCAAATGAAGTTAAAGACAACTAAGTATTACTAGAGCCAGCGCATGGAAAAAACTCAACAAACTTTTTGGTCAACCCAATACTAACTGCCCACTGGCACGCCGACCAGCATGTGACAGCCAGTGCTGCTTCCTGGTGGTCAAAACCATTGCCATCTGAGAGAGACAACAGCGTGGTGAGCCTCTGCGGCCCGAGGCACGTGCGGGGTTTCTGGGGCACTGAAGAGCCGGCACCATTCCGTTGGTGCCGACCGGGGTGGCCTGGGCTTGGGAGCGCTCCTCCTTGGGGACGGAGACACGTTGCTGAGCCTGAAGGTGGATCTCTTGGCATCCACGGCTGTGTGCTCTTTCTACTCAACTTGGCTGCTTTCTAAATCTTTTTACGCAGGCTTCCCCTGTCCCCAGACCATCCCCAGGTGTCCCGTTCTCTCAGGACACACCTGTGCCGTGGCCCAGTGCTGACCGATCTTCAGTGTTGCCTACTTGCTTTTCAGATGTCATCGTCCACCTCCCTGTGCTGCTTCCGTTGGGCATTCCTAGTGTCCCTTCGATAACTCTGCACGTGCTGGTGCCCTTGCTTGGGAGACCCTGCCTTCCTCTCCACTCAGACAACAGGCTTCAGCCCTTGTCGCCGCCACTCACACACTGCCTGGCCGCGTGGGCTGGGGCAGGCCCAGGTTTTGCCCTTCACGTGCCCAGAACGAGGAACCAGCACCTAAGTGAAGGCTCACCTCGCAGGGAGGGATGTGTATTAGCACCTGCATCCACCATCTGGTTCTTGTTTTCCAGTTGGGGAAATACAGGTGGGCCCGGGATTAGAACACACAACCCTCGCTATTCAATCTTTTTCTTATTACCCCAACGTAATATCAATGGAAGTTTAAAATTTTCTTTTACTAAAAAGACTGAAGGAAATATCACTCCCCAACAGAGGAAAGCACTGTATGTAGCAGGCAAGTTCCCAGAGGCAGAGGCAGAATCTTTTCCCTTTCATCTTGCCCACCTTCCCTGGGAACGCTGACAGGTGCAGCCCAGAGGGGGGACAGCTGCGGTCCGTGCCCGGGGCTGCTGCAGGGCGGCGGGGGGGGGGGGGGTGTTGGTGCTGGGTACAGCAGCTGGAGGCAGAGCAGCGGGCTCCCCCTGGATCCCCAGTCTCCCTTCTTACTCCCCTTTCCAGAACATGTAGCTTAGGGTGATTCAAACTGATAACATGTATCATTTTACTTTGCTTTAGAAAAAGCCACCCTTTGCTTTGTTACACATCGCAAAGGGACAGACACAGCACTGAGCTGAGTCATCAGTAGGGGTCAGTGTCTCCCGCCCTGCTCTTGTGGCCTCTGCTTTTCTTCCCACCTGTTTAGGGATTGGCAGTTTTTCTTTCTTCAGTCACATGGATTCATAGAGAGAAACTGAGGCAGGGGGTTGAAGGCACACACTCATGAGTTTCCTGCCCGTAGTGTTTTTTGGCGCCAAAAGTTAGCATTCAAAACCCATTAAGTAGCCAAATTATTAGGGGAATCTAAAACCTCTCTGTGAAAGTGGCCTGAGGTGACTTCTGAAAACGGTTCACTAGTCACTTGACTTGGGAAATCCCCACAATAGCGTGCAAACCAAGAGGCTCAAATCTTCGTGCTCACCGTTAAGAATACTTGTGAAACTGCCCAGGCCATCACAGGTGTGCGTATCCGGAAAGCCACCAAGCATCTGAGCACTGTCACTCTGCAGAAGCAGCATGTCCCATTCGGTCTTGGCGACAGTCCTGCTTTCAGCAGGGAGCAGGGGCGCCCCCACCCGGCCAGAGGCTCCCCTGCTCAGAGGGGATCGAGAACGAGGAGCTGGACAGGGGCTGAAATGATAAACAGTGACTCTTCTACAAAGGTGGTGGTTTATTTCAGCAAAACGTGGAAGGAATACGTCTGCCTGAAGCTCCTCGCTCGTCAGAATGCGTGGCCAGCGAATCCTCAGAGACGAGTGACGGCTGCTTTGGGAACGAGGAGGGCAGACAGCATGCGACCCCAGCTCTCGCGAGTCTTGGTCAAGGCGCCACTTACACTCCCCGCCTCAGGGGCCCTGCGCGTGAGACGGCTGCGCGAACACCAGATCGCTCGCGTTGTGTGGCTCCCTCGGACTTCTCCATGTGAAAACCCTTGTCCAGGGCAAGGCTTACTAAGAAGCGCTCTGGAGACGGAGGAACAGGCACTACGGGGCTCTGGAGCAGACACGGATTTGTTTAGTGTTTCACGGTTTGGTGGACAGAGTGGGGCGAGTGGACGAGCGTGACCGCCTGTGACGGCGTGTGGGTGCCGGGGCGGGCGCAGGCGCGGGCCGGCCAGCCGGGGCGTCCAGGACAGTCACAACGGCCGGCGGTGCGGGGAGCTGTATTTACTGCAGGGAAGTGTCGAGGAACAGTCCAGGCCAAGAGGAAGTCAATTCTTACTGGCTACGCAGGCACTAGTAACAAATAGAGGCTTCTTCCTGGCCTGGAAATCGTCCCCGACCTTTCCCCGCCCTTCTCCGGTGGTGCCAAACATGCGCACCTTGAAGCAAGGCGGCCTCGGCTTGGAGCTCCCGGGGCCGGCGGGCCACGTCCGCCACACAGTGCGGTCCGCACACACAGCTCCCAGAGGGGGAGACGTGCAGCTCGCTCCTGTGTGTGAGCTGCAGGGTTAAGGCTCAAGGCTGCAGCTCGTACACCAGTATTCACACCAGTGTCTCCAGCATCCTGGTGATTTCCTCCGTGGTCGTCAGTGACAAAGGCAATCAGCTGCACTGTGGGAACCAGATGCCACCCCAGCCCCGACCGCCTGCCACTCTTGCTTTGGGGGAATCAGTAAGCCCTTTCCTTGACTAAACTGGTTGCTGAATCTAAATAAATGCTTTACCACCACCCATGAGGAGGCTCCTGCTGCTGGCCGGGGAGGGACCAGGGAGCCTGGAAGAAAGACAGCAGCACCATGAGGGAGTCGTAGGTAAGCTTAAGGTCACGTGGATTCTGTAGTCCTGGTGCCGAGAGCACAGATGTCACCAGGGTTCCTGCCAGCAGCTGCGGGGAGCCCTGCTGCACACTCCGGGAAGATGGCCGGCGTGCAGGAGGGCTAGAGATGCTGGGAGAGTCGCCCTGGAGACAGAGGAGCGACTCTGCAGGCACTATGGACCTCTGGGGACCATCAGAGCTCCAGGCTCAATAGCAACAGCCTCCCAAGTCCTAAAAGAAAGACTGTTCGGCCCACCGTCCCTGCTACTTTCCATCAGCCACGGAGAGGGCAATTCTCCCACTCCACCCCTGCCACCACCTCTGCCAGCTCAGCTCCAGCACTGCCTGTGGGGCCCTGGGAGGAGGCTGGGGCCTCCCGCACCCTGGCCGTCCGGTGTGCCATGCCGGGTGGTGCAGGTCACCGTCTTTCCATTTGTTTTACGAGAACTGAATTCAAGGTTGAGGCCCCTGATCTGCAACAGTGACTGGGTCTGTGTTCTTTCCCTGCTCCTAGGACCATGCTTTTGCCCTCACCTTCGAGTTCCCACGGAGCTTGCAGAGTCTGTAGTCTGTTTTTCTTCATAAATAGGTACCTTATTGTGCTCGGCCTGGGAGTGGGTCCTCTCCAGTGCCCAGTATGTGCCAGGCTGAACATGGGGCAAGGAAGCCACGGACTCGCGGCTTCCCCCCGCCCCCAGCCCAGCCCTCCCCTGCTGCCTGTGCTGCAGGCTCATGGGGCCGGGGGCACGGGTGGGCACTGCCTGCCTGGCACATCCCCGGGCTGGGACTATGGCGCTGCAGGACAGGAGGGGTGGCTTGCTTTTGTGTAGGAAGGCCTCGTGGTACGGTGTACCCTTCATTGCCTTCTCAGGTGTGTGCGGGCAGAGAGGACTGCCATCCCCGCCAGGGTAGTTAATACTGCACAGGTCGGGCAGATGTGACCGGTGGGCTGGAGCCAGGCTTCATGACCCTCTATCCCGGTGTGTCATGCAGAACCTGAAAGTGTTCGAGGGGAAGCAAAACGCCACTTTGATTCCAGTGTTGGGTCTCCTGTGCCTTCTCATCAGTGATGGTGGCTCAGTGGTGAGAGGCAGCGCCAGCCCTTCTCTGGGAGGCGGGGCAGGGTGGGCAGGAAGCCTCCCCTACGTGGAGGGGGGGTCCATCGTGGAGAGGATCCGGACGACTTCTGCTCGCTGCGTGGGGGAGATGTGCTGGGTCATGTGGACGATGGAATCCATGGCGACCTCTGGGTTGGCCTGGACCAAGCTGGAGAGGAAGATGCGGGAGGGTGAGGCAGAGGGAGAGGCAGCGGCGTGGAGACGAGGGCAGTGGAGCACGGCCCCTGCACGCCCTCGCAGAGCTTGCTGCGGATGCCCCGGTCAGCACCTCAGCGATTTGTCTTTCTCCCTGAAGGCTGCCCCCAGCAGCAAGGCAGGCACCAAGGGAACCCTGAGACATTGCTACGTGGCAAGGTAAGGAAGCACGTCAAACACCACCGCCCAAACCGATGGGGGCGTATCACAAAGACAGTGGGGCCAGCATGAAGGCATGCCCACTGGCTAAATCTGGGACATCAAAACAAGTATAATGATGAATTAAAAATTATTAAAAACATAGAAATACATATAAAATATATATTGAATACTGAATACATGAATGGAGGAGAGAGGACTCTTGCTAACAGCAGAACTGGAGCAAGCAAAGTCACCCGTGGGCGCTAAATCCGGTGAGAATTCGGGTGAGGAACAGGGTGTCTGCACGGTCTTCATGTGTCTCCCCACAGACCGCGTGCTACGCACAAGGGGGAAACCAGCGATCACACACTGGGGAAACTGAGTCACATCTTGACCAGCTGATTGAAACCAGCTCCAGCAGGGGAAGATGGGCTGTGTGCCTCTGGATGCGGGGCCCCGTGCAGGCCACCGCACCACGCACAGAATGGCCCGGCTGAGCGCAGGCGATCTGGACCGAATCCTGAGGGGACACCCGGCACACTCAGAACGAGCAGCCCCACAAACAGGACACTCACCAGCGCTGAAGCAGGTGGGGTAAAACGCAAACTGGGTTTGTGCTTTGTACTGTTTTTAGTGTTGTAGCTTTTCTGTAAGTAAAATGTTTCCAAATAAAAGTCTTTTAAGCAATGCCCCCCCAGTCCCACCTGCCTGCCCCGGAGAGGCCCGGAACTCCAGAAGGAGACCGCTAACTGTGCCGGGGAGCGGGGCAGGCAGTGCCCCAGGGACTGCGCGTCTGCACTCGGAGGTAACAGCTGGGCGCAGTGGACTCAGTCTTCGTCGAGCTGAGGCTACTCGGTGCCCCGGGGTCTGGAGGCTGAGGAGGAGGAACTGCGCTCAGGGCTCTGTTTTTACCTGTGGGCCGACCACGTGGTCTCCAGCAGGAAGAGACCAGAGATTGTGCTGCAGCAGCATCTCAAGACTTGTTTTTACATTTTTTCTTCCAAAGTAAACCCCACCTCTCCTAGGAGCCCCCCACTGCGGGTCTCACCTGCGGATCTGCTTGAGGACGTAGTCTCTGCTGATATACTTGATGTTTTCCTCTACGACTGAGCGAACCCCGTCCTCCTCTGTCAGCTGCTTCTCCAGCCACTCCACCAGGTCCTTGTTGTTGTCCCAAACGTAGGCCTGCAAGCAGACGAATCCCGGTCAGGCTCCGGGGCCAGGCAGACACCCTGGGTGTTTGCTACCTGGAAGGCTGCTCCGAACTCTTGCTCAGTGCAAAACACTCGTTCACAATCCTCTGTTACTGCTGGCACTGTAGAATAAGGAGCCCACGGGCCTCAGGCCGGGGCATCGCGTGTGCTTTCTGAGGAGTGTGAGGCTCTGGCCCCAGCCAGGCCCAGCAGGTAGGCTGCCTGACGTGAGGAAGTCCTGCCGTGAGGGGCGGCCACCAGGTCCGCCACCTGTTTCACTTTCTCTGAGAGTATTCGAAAGGGTCAAGGCGTCTATAACCCTGAAGGACTCAACAAACCCCCTCTTGCCTCCTTTTTTTCAAGATCATTTAGCTGAGTATTTCCTAGGTAGTTGACTACATAATAATTCAGGAGTGTGTTAGAAACCTAATAGCCTTCTCCTTGCTCTTCTCCTCTCATTTTCTTTACAAATCATTTAGGAATCGTTTTGTTAATGGTTTCCGGAAAACCAAGTACCTCCATTAGGGCTCATTCATATTTATGTCATTTTGTTTGGGTAATTAAACACAAAGCTCGTCATTTAAAGGTGCGCTATCCTTCTCTGTTATCACTAACGAAGTCAAAGTCGGAATGACAATGAGTGTGGCGCTGTAATTCAATAGGTGGTGCAGCAGGGACTCTCAGGCTCGAGCTGTGGCTCAGAACCTGCACCACAGCTGTGAGCGCAGGGCCTGCCGGGCCCGAGGAGAGCGTCCAACACGCCCTCCAGGAGGCACCGTGCAGGGAGGAACAGCCTCGCACTGCTTTCTAACGCCCTGCTTTGTGCCTCTAAGGGTGATGGTTTCTCTTCAGGTTCACGTCCCATCTCTAACTTAGCTGGCAAGTTAGATGTGACTGGTTACTTGTCGTGTGTCATGTCACTGACTTCCACATTTCTAACAAAAATTTTTAAGATTTTATTTATTTTTAGAGAGAGGGCATGGGAGGGAGAAAGAGAGGGAGAGAAACCTCGATGTGCAGGAGAAACATCAATCAGCTGCCTCTCACACGCGTCTAGACTGGGGACCGAATCCACAACCCAGGCGTGTGTCCTGGCCTTTTGCTCTGTGGGACGACGCCAACCCATTGAGCCACACCAGTCAGGGTTCTAACGATTCTGAAGTCCTTCACAGTTAAAGGATTAAGGAGCCTCAGAATTAAGGATCAGCAATACACCTTTTCTAGCTCCCTGTCCAGTTCCTTTTCTGCCCCCAAATTCACCCTTCTCTGTGGTCACTAGTAAGAAGGTCAGCTCTCCTGGGCAGGGCACTGGGGCCAGGGTGGTGCAGACCTGAGGGAGCCTTCCCACCTCCCTGGGGCCAGGGCTGCCGAAATCTCTGAGGCTCAGCGGCAGGAAAGTTTTCTCTCTGTGGACAAGGGTGGGGGGGGTGCTGCTGTTCTCCCCACAACATGGTCGTAACTCTCGCGGTCCAGCTCCTGCTCACCCCACACACGGATGGATACCCCTGGAGCCAGCACCTCCATTTCCATCCCTGGTAAGTGTGACTTCTGCTCCGTGGCTTGATGAGGACTGTGGAACAGGCCCCTACCTATGGAGCTTTGGAGGTAGGAAAAGCTAAAACAATGATTATTGCTTGGATTTCAGTATGGAAAAAAAAACAAAACTAGGTTTACCCAAGAACCCCAAAGCCTTTCGTTTAGGAGACTATTTAATACTCTTATTAATCATTTTTAATCCGTTTGCTTTTAATTAAGAAACAGCATGATGCTTTCCTATCAACATATGCCAGGGAGCAGATTAATTGTGGCTTAAGATAATGCTCCTTGATTGGTGTAATGTATTAGCTAACGAGATGCCTGCTTCTAACGATGCTCAGACACTACACTGGAAACCAGCTACCCTCTAGAGAAAACTCTTCTGCCTTCCCCTCCTGCAGCCACGGAATATGCTAGGTGTTTAAATTAAATATTAAAAAAGTTCCCAGAGAGGACCAGAGCAACACAGTCCAAGTTTTAGGACTGTCGCTCTGAAGTCCCCCCTTTGCAGACTTCCTTACATGAATGACCTACTGTCCCAAGTACGGCAACTGGGTGACACCCAGCCAGCCCAGCCCCAGTGACGTGTAGATGCCCCTCCGGGTGGGGGAAGGCAGAGGGGCCGCAGATCTGAGTCAGGGGCATTTTTAGCAAGAACAGAAAAGTTTCGGCACCCATGGCACCACAGGTTTTCCGCGACGGGCCTGGGAGGCTTTCACACGCTGTGGCGGGCCACCCTCCCTCCCCGGGCAAAGCAAGGGTCCCTTCTGCCAGGCCGGGGAGTCTGCGGTCTCCGTCTGCCCTCTTGGAACGAGTTACAAGACTCCTCACTCCAGCCATCCAGAAGGATGAACCGATCCTACTCCCAGGGAAAAAAGCCATTATCCTTTCCCGCCTGGAAATTATGAAAATGTGGCTCATTATTCCTCATGCCCCAGGGTGGATTTTAAACACGCGTGAAGCGCGGGGCTTCTGGCCACATCACAGGCCCGGGCCACATGTCACCTGCCTGACACACATCCCAACCAGAATGTTTTAAAACCAATAAAATATCCATAATTAAACATCCCAACAGTGGTCTTACAGTAACTTACAGTAAGAGAGACACTTTCTCTGCGTCAGCGGATAAGCATCTCTGGCACTACTCAGCCTCACTAATTGTGTGTAGTAATTAGTCTATCTTACAAAATCTAAATGGCCTGTTTGGAAAGTTTCATTTCTAACCCATCTACAGCTGTTGAGTCCTCTTTACTCAAAGGTACCGCAGGGCATGGGAGTGACCAGGGCGGAGCCTGCTGGACCCCCTGAGAGCCACTCCAGGCTCAGCCCCACCCGGGGCCAAGCGATACTGTCCGGGTTCTGCCTCCCCTCCTGCCTCCATGGCCCTAGATGGGAAGTTTGGTGCACACTGGTCCCCGGGTCACTTGAGGCCAGGCCGTGGGGACGCTGGGTATGAGATGGCCCTACCAACAGTGCATCTCCTCGCTCACCCTCGCAGGGGTCCCCACCAACGACCTCTCATTTGGAAATCCAGAAGAAGAGCGAATGGGTGGATACCAGGACAGTAAGAATGTACGATGGCATCTTAGGTTGTGGATAATTAGAGCAAGTGGAAACAGAGAACGTTACTGAGAATCAGCTATGCTCGCGGAACCAGCCCGCTCCTGCCAAGATCATCAGGCTGACTCTTGGCCTAGCGAGCTGTGCCGAGAGGAGGGGGGAACCAGCACGTCTGGTCTGCTGAGTGCCAGGCGCCGGGCTCCACACGTCACTTACCGCTGACCCGCTGACCTAAACACCATCCCCACTGTACACACGAGGAAACAGAGGCCTAAACGCTACGTCCACACCAGTAGACTGCAAAGCTGGAATCCAAAAAGTCTGTGGGATTCTGAAACCCATTTTTAGAGCCATTAGAACTGGGCTCCCTGCAGAGTCCAGCTCAGCTTCCACCACGGGAGAAGTTGGTCTGAAAAACCACAGACCTCATATCTGGATCTAAGAAGTAAGAGAAAACAGCCCATGAAACAGATGAGTGCTATGTTCACATGACCCAATCTAAACCTAAATTCTCATTTCTCAGGGAGCCACAGGGATGCGCAGCCCCCTGGAGGGAGCGTCTGCCTGCAGTGAAACGATGACCCATAAAGCTGTTTCCTGCAGTCGGACTGTCCCAGGGACTCGAGCGGACCCCTCCGAGGCGGCAGTTTTCAACCGGTGCGCTGCAGACTTTTCTAAACATGCAGTACCTGACTGTGTTAGTCAGGGCCCTGACCTCTTTTCCCTTAGACTGTCAAATACAAAAATGACAGCAGCCAACACAACGCTGGCCGTCTGCTGTGAATGCCCCGTCTCAAACCATAATATAGGTCACGTGACAGAGTTGCGACTTACTGGATAATTCTTGGTACCAGAAACCCTTAGATGCAAGTACGGGCACCTGACTTTTAAAAAGTTGCTCTACAGCACAAAGGGTAGGTAATTACTATTATCATTGTTTTTGTAAATCAATCAAAATTATACTTTTTGGTCAGATGGCAAAACACGTATTTTTGGTGTGCTGCAAAACTTTGGTAATTAGTTTATGCGTGCCATTAGATGAAAGGTTGAAAAATCGCTGCTCTAAGTAAAATAAAATAATTATATTGCTCGTTTATGTAATATCACAGTGTCTTCAAATTTTCAGTCCCTGAATCACTTTCTTCAGGATTAAGATTAAAAAAGCAAAATCTCTAGGAAAACACACACACACACACACACACACACACACAACACCCCCCCGCCCCCAGCATGGCTAATAGATGCCGGTCACTGAGTGTCTTCCTACCAGCAACCCCAGGAAGGACTAGCGGGTCACTTCCTGGTGCACAGCCAGGGTCCAGACCCAGGCAGTCTCTGCCCTGGAGAGCCACGGCACGCAGATCTACCGCTGTTGGGACCGGCAAGGGGCGCCTGTTCCAAGGCTTCACGCCATCTCCAAACACCAAGCAGATTCCACGTCAGCACTTCGGAGGCAGCACGGGCAGCTTCTGAACATCGCCACCCTTTCTCCTCTGAAGGGCGAGGCAGATTTCATCCGCCGCCCGCGCCACCCGCACCCCCCACCCCCCACACTGCACTGGGTCCTGCTGAGCCTGCAGAACCTGGAGGGAGCTTTCAAAGCCGTGTCCCAGGATCCCCGCCCTCTCTCTCCCTGCTCTCCCGGACTGAGGGCTCTGGGGAAGGCAAGGGAAACAGCCTCCTCCTGAGCTTTGGGGCTGAGGGTCTTCTGTCCCCATTTCCAGCCAGGAGTCTGTCCACACACAGTCCACGGATCTCTCCATCATTACGAGCTGGAAACGACCTCCTCCCGACACAGTCCCGCGGGTGCAGGACGCCGAGGGGCCGCTGCAGGGCCCAGCCACTCGCTCCGTGGGCAGTGGGAAGCGATTCCTTCTCCTCATCCTTGTGCCCACTGAGGCCGTGCATGTCCATTAGTGACTAATGTGGTAGGAAGGCGGGGAGGGCCTCTCCTGGCCACACGCACAGTCCATTTACCTAGCCAGCCACTCTTAACTGGAGAACAACCTCTTATTTTACACTTGCGTGACTCTCAATGCCAACTTCCAGTGGAAGCTGCCAGTAGCCACTGACAAAATTGTCTCACTCAATTATGATGCCACAGACTGACCTTAACCTGAACCAAGTGTCACATAAGGCTGCACTCCCCTGCTGCACATCTGAAATATTTATCCAAAGAAGCTTTTCAGTCGTAAAAAATGGGCAGAGTTAACACAGAGGTGAATCTTAGAAGGACCCTGATTCACTGACTTTAAAACTGATGGCAAACCTTGGAGTTCCTGAGAACGCTCAGTGGAGACTTCAGGCAATGCTTTCTAGAAAGATCCTGGCATGCCGCCGGCCTCCCCCCACCACCGCCCCTGCCCCCCCCCGCCCCTGTCCCCACCCCCCATCAGGACTCGAACCCAGCAGTCGCCACGGGTTTTGGATCATGTAGCTATTTTTAGCACACATTACCAAATTCTGATAAAACGTTTGTATAATGCATATGACTTACTTTTAATCCATGTACTACTAATAAAGGTTCATTTCTTTTACTTAGTAGAAATAAAGAGAAACAAAAGCTCTAAGCTTTCCTTTCCATCTTCCCGTGGACTGTCTTGTGCACCCCAGGGTCCCAGGCAGATGATGGGTGCTGGGAGCTGGTCATCCTGGCTGCAGGCCCACCCCACCCCCAGCCCCGGGGCGAGAGCACCAGGGACTCCAGCTCCATGGGGTGGGGTGTGCCGCCTGTGGGGTCAGCTCAGGAACACCCAGAGTGATAGCTCCCAGGTCCTTCCAGCTCAGATCTGAAGTCGGAAGCCCTTACACAGCACAGCACCGGCTACCTACGTGACCGTCTCCTCTCTCCGGCTCCCTGCTCCTGCCTCCTCCGATTCCACCCCCGACAGAGCGACCTGAGCAGTCTCCCTACCGCACAGGCCAGACAATGTCTCTGCTGCTTGAAATGCGTCAGCCGCTTCCCACAGGACCAAGTCCGAACCCCTTGGCATGGCTTCCACGGCCCTGCATGCTCCCAGCTCTGAGCCGTCCTGGATATCTGCATGCTCGGTAGAGCATCCTTCTGCTGCCAGGCCTCACAGCGCGTGCCGCCTGGAACGTTCCTCCTGCACTCCTGCGTCCAGCCTCTCCCTCTCGTTCACTTCTGCTTTGTTTTCAGGCCCATCTCTGCGCCACCACTTCTAGAAGTCTTCCCAGACTCCCTCCCCCTTCCCATAGGGTGGGCCAGGTGTCCTTTCCCTGTGCTCTACGATGTCCTGGGTTTGCCATGTTCAACACGGGTCTCACTGCTGCATGTGGCCTCCTGACTCCTCTGTGTCTCTCTCCAGGTGGGGAGCTCTGTGTGGGTAGGAACCCTGTCTGCCTCTTTAACTGCCACGTCCCAGGGCCTAAGGTGGTACCTGGTACTTAGCAGGTACTCAAAAAGGTTTGTTGAGTGGTGGAACGAGATGCAGAAAACATCCTACCACCTCTTCCAGTGAAACAGCACGGGCCTGTTACTGTGGGAGGAAACACGCTTCCAGCCTACGCGTCCCTGCCACTCCTGCCCAAGAGGCCTGGGGAGGCTGAGACGGCCAGCCCTGCCGGCCTCAGGCAGCGGTGAGGAGTGCGGCATGAAGGCTCCTCTGAGGGCGCCCACCTACCTTCACCGTGCCTTCCACTTCCACAAACCAGCGCCTTAGCATGGCCTGGATCTGGCCATCGGTCAGCTCGGGGTTGGCATTGTGGATCTTCTTCTTGACCAGGTCCTCCAGCAGGAGGCGCCTCAGCCGCCAGTAGAAGAAGGTGCGGGATGTCTTCCAGTCCAGGATGTCCTAGATACAGACAAGGATAAACCGAGTCACCCCAGTCCCAATCCCTGCTCAGTGCCAGTCCAGGGGAACTCCCCAGGCCCACACAGGCACTCCTCAGCAAGCTGCTCAGAGACTCTCGAGTTGGCTGCGAGCTCCCTGCCCCTGCAGATGCGTCCCCCATGCCCTGCTGACCACAGCACGTGCATAGTGATGGACCTGGCTGATGCTTAACCTTACTCATGGCCGACATGGCCTGGAAAGGGGCTGTGAATTCCCAGATAACCACAGTGAGGAACCGGGTTTGAGCAAATGGCTCAAACAACTTGCACGCCAATCAAGTGTGAGTCAGCTGCTGCTGGAACCCTGACACTAGTAATTTGCAGCCTGAGTGCCTGGGCAGCTCTCTCCGGTGCAGGCACGTGTGACTCAGTTTCCCACCAGTAAAATGGAGCTTGCCTCCTGCGGAGTCCAGGAGGCAACCTAAATCGTCAACTGTTTTAGGATGACAGTGGATACAGAAAAAGGGAAAAGTCTCTCCCCTCTAGAGAAGAGAAGTGGTTTGATCTGCACAAGCTGTTTTAAGCCAGCCCTTGTGAGCCTGTGTGCAGGAGACACACACTCGCTCGCCTGCGGATCTCTGACAAGTTGCAGGCGGCGACCACTGTACTTACGTTAATGACACCCTTCTCCTGCATCCGGCCTGGGGTGTCGTGCAAGTCAGCAAACTGCACGGCTACCTGATGGTAAATGGGAGTTAGGAATTCCTCCCGCTCCTTCAGCTTGTTCTCCAGCTCCTTCCGCTCAGCAGTACTGAGCTCCGGGGTACCTGCAATGAAATCAACCTGCCCGTCACAGTCTCTGGCGACCGGGAATCTCTCCACTCAGGAGCAGCAGTCACGGGAAGCTCAAAATCGCCCCCGCCCTCTGTGACCTGCTCTCCATGGTCTTTACCACCTCTTTGCTGAGTGACAGGACTCTGTGAGGCACCAGACCTGTCTTTACCTTGCCATGGGGAGCCCACACGGCCTCTTTTCTCTGTGACTATAGGAGGTCACGACTATAGAAGCAGCCAGGGGAGTCCCTCTCCCCAGGCCTCTCCCTGAGCAGGTGCAAGTAACCCCTGGAGGCCGTCATGTCTCCCCATCTCACTGACTGACAGCCAGGCCCCTTTCCCTCAAAGGACACAAGCCCATGCCCCGCGGACCAGCACCGGAGCAGCAGGGCACCAGAGTGTGGGGCGTGGTGGGACAGTGCCCCTGCGCTTCCAAGCACAAGCCAGCAGCTCTTCTCTCCTCCCATCCACACCAGTACCCACCCAGCTGGGTAAGGATCCGACGACTTCTACCCTTGCAAGCTGCTCTACTCCACAGCTTCTCCTCTCAGGGCCGGATGCGCTTAACTTGAAGGCAGTAGACTCCAGCCTAGTTGGAGCCATGTCTGTGCGTCTCCTGCTGGCCCCCAGCCTCCTGCCTGGGCTGCTCCTGACAGAGCCAACCCCTGACCACAGTGACAAAGACAGGACCTCACTCGACAGACAGGAGACTTTAGAATTCCTTGTAACAGGGCACCCCCCACCAGCCCCATCAGTCTTGTCCCAGTCCAGGTGTTGCTGTGTTGTACTTTTATTCCTACTTACTCCCAGAACGGGGCTGGCAATTGACACTGAAAATTTAGTTGCCTGCCTAGTGAGGAGTAAGTCTAGCTGAAGGAGCAACAGGCGATGGCCCCTGGTGTTGAGGACAACCTGAATGCTTTGTCACTGAAGCTGACAAATAAATACATGACCACAGGTGATGGGATGCAGAAGAGAAAGGTCTTTTTCAAGCACGTCTCTCTGGGAACAGGCCTTGCTTTTTATGCTGCTATGAATCATATGCCATAAACAAGCCTTGGGCTGCTGAGTGAGCCGTAAGTATTATATACAAACACATGTTAATAGAACAGGGATGATGTAACTATAGTACCTTGTTTCATTTTTATGAGGATTTTGGATGCCCAACTCTACCTTTCTTTTTTTTTTTTTAAGTTCATCACTACTTTAAAGTGGTAAAGAACAGTGCTGAAGGCTATCTTTTCTCGGGCTCTCCCAAGGAGGACCATCACTGACTTATCACTTGGGTCCCTGACTCCTCAGCAGCCTTCTTTCCAAACCAGGGGAACAGCGGCACAGGTCCCGCTGTGGGGCGGGGTGGCCCGGGGAACGGACGGGCGGAGGGCCAGCCGCTCTCTTCGGAGAGGAGACTGTCTCCGCTGCAACACGCTGGATGGGGAAGCAAGCACTTTTCCTCCTCCAGTGAAAGAAACCAAGCCTCATTGGAGAAACAGCTGGCACCAGGGCTGGGGCAGGGAAGACAGAAGCTGGGCCTGGAACTTCCTGTCCCACAGAACGGGAAGTCCTGAGAAACGACGGGGACATGTGGGAAAGGCCACGATGGAGGCTCCCACTGACCAAACCTGGGACAACTTCAGCAGCAAATTTATCAAAAAAGAAAATGTGTTTATTATCAGACAGATCACCTATGGAATCAAGTAAGAACCTGCGAGTCCATCCTGACATAAATGATCAAATGGGAAGAAAGAAAAGGACAGCTCTTCCCTCTGGCACAATAACAATGACTAGATACAGAGAAGGGTGGAATTAGGAAATCGCCATTTTACAACTAGCACAGTAACTGCCTTTGCCGAGAATTATCAATGAATGGGGAAACTCGTGGGGGAAGGTTTGATGAGGAACAGGGTATTTACAGAGTACCAAAGTGTCTCCTTACAAATTACTTTTTAAGGGGAAAAGGGCAGTCTTACAGTGGATTGACCTGGTGAACAAAACCTTAAACAAGAAATCAAAGTTACCGTTACCAAGAACCGGACAAACGGACATCATGTGCCTCCTGGTACAGTGTCCTCAGAAGGATGCATCGCTTTTGCAATTTCCTGCCCAAAATGCACAGCCTGAATCTAATCATGAGGAAATGTGAGGCAAGCCCAAATTCAGGAACAAACTACAAAAAAAGAATGATTCCAAACTGATACAGACTAAAATACTTGACAACAAATTGTAATGTGTGGTCTGGAATTAGATCTCAGACCAAAAGAAAAACAGAACGGGGGAAAAAAAGCTTTATAGGACATTATTGGAACAAATGGCACAATTTTAATATGAATCGTGGATTAGACAGTAGTGTTGTATCAATGCTATGATTCCTACACTTGACCTTAGCCAGAAGGCCGAGAAGCGATCAATGTTATTTGATTCCTGATTTTGATAAAGCTCTTGTGGTTTTGTGAGGGAAAGTCTGCATTCTTAGAAACACACACTAAGCATTCCGGATAATGGAGATGACGCCTACAGACCGTTCTCCAGTGGCCCAGACCGTGTGTGCGTGTGCACGAGTGTGCGTGTGCACGAGAGAGTGTGTGTGTGTGTGTGTGTCGCGGGGGGAGAGCGAGTGATCACCTGTGCGTGAGCAGCAGAAAGGAAAAAGTGAATGGGGCAAGATGTTAACAAGTGAGTCTGAGAGAAAGGCATTAGAAGTCCTTTGTACTATTTTTATAACTTTTCTATAAAATTTGTCAAATGGAAAGTTAAAGAAAAAATAAGCCCAACTAACAAATGTCTTCCCTGGCTCCCCAATGCATACAATCAATAGTCAAAGCTAATATCCACAGGGTACTGGGCACTATTCTACGTGCTTTCTATCTGTGAGCCTGTTTCACCCTTACAACAACCTTAGGAGGTTGGTACCCTTATTATCCCATCTTACAGGTGAGGAAACCGAGGTGCTGAGCATTTATGTGACTCACCCAGGTCACAAGGCCGAAAGGGGAAGAGCCAGCACTCAGGCAGAGAGCAGTGAGGCTCCCAGACCTCCTGGCCCCTGCATGGTGGTGTCCGTGTGCTTACTGGGGCGGAGGACACACACTGCGCCAGGAGCAGTGGCACCCCTCTGGCCTCAGAGAAGGCTGGAGGATGACGGCAGACTCCCAGCCCGTGACACTGAGTGCCATCCTGTCCCATTCCACCACTGAGAAATCCAATTCTGGATGTCTCCAGAATTCCCATTCGGCAGGTCAGACTTCAGACTTAAGGGCAGCTCCGCCTCTCACTGAGGAGGTTAAGAACTAACTCGACGGCCCTGCAGGGGTCGGGAGTGGGGGCAAGGGACGGCAGGGCTGTGGATGCGGCTGAACACAATGGCCCTTACGACATTCCCCTCCTGGACAGATGACCAACGCTGCACTCCATGCACATATGTGTGTACGTGCACCACGTATGACACATACCACTTCCTGAGCATTTACCACAGGCCAGGCACTACACACAACGCTTTCAGGCTCACACAGCTCGTAAGTCACCCCGCACAGTTCAGACTCAGGTCTGCTCTGCTGTTCCACTGCTGCCAAGCTGATTGCCTGAATATGACTGAGGCTTCCAAGTTGTTGCACATACATTATTCCTGATCCTTTCAACAACCCAACCTTACAAGAAGGGTGTCGATTTTACAAATGAAGAAACCAAGGCTCTGAAATGTGTGTGACTCGCCCAGTGGCATCCAGCACGTAAGCAGCCAAGTCAGCATTTACACTAGGGTCTGGGTGTCCCTGAAGCCTGTGTTCTGTTAAACGCTACTGAAGACGATCGAACAGGTGTCCTGGCAGCTGCCAAGAAGGGGGATCAGCTGGAGAGTTTGGTTCCTTGGGTCAGAGAGGAGTTAACAGCCCAGCCCCGCTCTGGGTGCAGAGAGGGAGGCCGTATGAGCTCAGGGGCAGAGCGTTCTGGAAACAAGGCCTTGGCTTTTTACAAAGTAGGACAGACAGAGAAGGCCAGCTCCTGGACTAACAAAGGTCTTGTCCACCTAATCAAGGCACTTTGAAAGAGCAGCAAAATAAACACCTGTAATGTTCTCCCCCTGAGACTAGAAGGTCACAGAGCATCCCCCCAAAGGCTGCCGGGCTTGATGCCTTCAGTCATGCTTCTCACCACAGTGAAGACCTACCTCAAAACCCATCGTGGCAAGGAAAACACAGAAGTAGCGAATGTGTGTCGTTTTAAATGCACTGAGAAAGCCAAGGATTTGTGTGCTTTGTTTTAAGAGGGGAAAGAACAGGTCTTCTAATTTTATTTTCTAAAAACAAAATGCTGCTCCTAAGCCAGTCAGACCTTGCACGGCACACTGAGGGCCCCTTCTCGCACAGCAAAGCAGCCGGCCCCGGTAATGATTTAGGGGAGATTAACAAATATGTCAATGTCTATTTTCTGCTTAATTTAAAAGCGGCGTCTATAAAGATTTTTGACTTCTGAACCCTGTTCTGCTGAAAGAAAGAAGGTAAGAATGAGGAGGGGGATAAAGAGTGATTATCCTATCATTGATCGTTTGTCAGGAGCATTTCTTATTCACTGGACTATTGTACAAAGCTAAGCTCTCGATCAATCCTGTAAGCTCCCTGTACAATTAAATATCTTGGAATGGTTTTCTTTCTTTTCTGGCCAGATTGCAGGGCCTCGGGGTTTTTAGGGAAGCAGGTCAGGGGTGTGTGTGTGTGTGTTTAAGACTATGCTACAGAGAGGAAAGTCATTCTTTTCCAGGACCTAGTTTAGGAAAAGGCTGAGATGAGAGTAAGGTTGGGTTACTCTCATCAAACATCCATCCCAAAATAAAAACACCCCATGAAACCCTGAAAATTAACTTGACAACAAACATTTTTAATGTAAAGAGTTAAATATAGAAGTCTGATCAAATGAGAAGAGCTAGCTAGCATTATTGAGATGTTACTATGTGCTAATATTGTTTAAGTACTTTTCTTTTTTTTAAAGAGTTTATTTATTTT